CACGCAACTAACCCTTATACAGAGATCATCATCATCAGTTCTCGTTATGCCTAGTGGCACAAGAGGCTTCAGAGAGGACTTTATATGCATTCCTGTCCTGTGCAATCTTCAGTGCAGTTTTCCATGTCAAAGATGCCGCACTCAGGTCACTTTCCATGGTTCGTCTCCATGTTGTTTTTGGGCGCCCCTGTTTTCTCTTTCCCTCTGGTGTCCATGTGAGAGCTGTTTTGGCAGGTATATCAGAAGTCATTCTCAAAACTTGGCCAAGCCATTTCCATCTTCTCTTGGTAATCATGCTGTCTAAAGTTTCTTGGTTTGTGGCTTGAAGTTGTTTATTGTTTGAGATTGGATCTGGCCAGAAAATTTTTATAATTCTACGTAGACATGTGTGATGGAAGGTGGACAGCTTGTGTGCATCCGGTTTGGTCATTCTCCAGCATTCCGCTCCATAAAGAAGAAATGGCAAAATGATGCTCTTGTAGAGTCGGAGTTTCGTTCCTCTGCAGTAATTGTTGGATTTCCAGATTTACCTCATCCTTCTAAAAGCAGCTCTAGCTTTGTTCAGGCGTGACTGTATGTCTTCCTCTGTCCCTCCCAGTAGGGACACCACACTGCCAAGATATGTGAAATGTTCTACATTTTCAAGTGATTGGTTACTTATGGTCACTGGTTGTTGGTTTGGACTGTTTGTCATGATCTTAGTTTTCTTTTTATTTATTCTCAGTCCCACCATTTCTGCTGTGCAGTGTAGACTGTTACTTTTCTCTTGTATATGTTCATGTTTATGTGATAGGAGTGCTATATCATCTGCAAAATCAAGGTCTTCAAAGGTGGTGAATGGAGTCCATCGTATGACACTTAATGTCCTGTCTACTGTGTTCTTTAGTATCCTATCAATCAAAAGGTTGAAGAGGAGAGATGACATAACAGATCCCTGTCTTACACCTGTCTTTACTGGGAAAGATGTGTTGTAATTTTTTATACTGCAGGAAGTTTTTATAGAAGAGAGCAATCATGTTGACTATTTTTTCTGGAATTCCATAATGTCGTAAAATGTTCCACAGATTGTCTCTATGGACGCTGTCAAAAGCTTTCTCAGTCCACAAAATTAATATATATATACTTCTCTTCCATTAGTTGCATTGTTCTAAAATGTTACGTATGGCGAAGATGTGCTCAGTTGTTCCTCTGCCCTTTCTGAATGCTGCTTATTGCACTCGTAGGCAAATTTGCTGGGTAACTTTGTGTAGGGTTTGTAGATCATGTGCTTTAGCAGCATTTTCTGCTGTTTCTGCAAGATTTTCCATAAATCTTCTCTTGTCAGCTCTGGCACTTTTCTTGGTCATTTTATTAAGTTCGCTATATTCTAACATTAGTTTGTCTTTCTGACGTTCTGATTTAGTGTGATTTATGAGGCTCTTTATTCTTTTTCGCTTGGCAATATAGTCAATGGTTTGACTACTTATCTATTCTTTGTGGCGTTGTTTCCTGGTTCCTAATATGTTATTGCTAGTTGATTTGTATGTTTCTTTGATCTGATTCCATCTGTCTTGAATGCTGATTGTAGTTGGAGTGTCTGGGTAGCTTGATAGGGTTTGAAATCTATTCTTGAGTTCTACTATAAATTTAGTGGCAATGTCTTTTTCTCTTATAAGGTTAACATTGTAACGTGCTGTCTGTGTCTTAACTTGCGTGTAAACTTTTTTGAGTTTAAGTCGTAGTAGAGCGACTACAAGGTGATGATCGCTTCCCACATCTGCTCCCCTATAGAGATAAGGCCGCATTTTACAAAACTAAGAATATTCTGGACAGTCTTGTTTGTCAATTGAGTCGAGAAATTGAATTCTTGAAAGTTATTTAAATTCTATCTTGATATGCGAAAGTGAATCAATAACAGTTGGTCGATTAGTGAAGTCACAGGCGATTGTAAATTAACATAACACCAAAAATATTTGTTTCGTTTCACAGCTGTTTATTATTACATGTAAAATTCAAGGGTCAACAACAGACAATAGTAGTGACGATAAAAGTTTGTTTCTAACGATGATTACTTGTTTTCCTTGTAAAGTTTTGCTTTTGTAGTTGTTTTTTTTCAATCAGTTTAGCTTACATTGTAAAATGTCAATGAATTTTCATCTGACATCTAAGAAAGTAATAATGCATAATGCATCATTTCGACGAATTAACAACAACAACAGCGATAAAAAACGAACAACAATAATCCTAAGCCAGTAACACACATTATTATTCTTCATCTTCTAATCGGTAATAACAACTTTTGTCGAAACGTTCCGCTATATCCCTAAATATTTTGTTCTTGTTCTTCGTCGAGCTTCCAATTTATAGTTTTTGTCATTTATTTCGGTTCCACTCTGTGCCTTTTGCAACTTCTTCTATGAGAAGAACATGTTTAACAATGTAAGACATTTTTGAGTCAAAATAAGATCAAACAATTAAGTGGAGCAGATAAAGTAAAACTCACAATTGCGACATGATAAATAAATATAACAACTATGTGTGATAACTAAAAACATATGAAATCGTTAAGTACTTGAATTAATGGTTATGGATTAATAATCTAAAGTATTATACATCAAATACACATAGACATGAATGATAACTACCACACTTGACGTCGGCGCCAGTGGATTACGAATTACGGACAAGGTTTGATTCAACTAAGGGCGATGTGGTAGCAGTCGAACGTTTCGACAAGAGTATTGAGCACCGCTTGTTTAATGGAAAACTTGTTCTTATAGTCCATGCCGTGTAGCACTGGTGGTTATATATATTTACGACCTTCTGTCTCGTGTAAGTTCAATCCTTCTGACACAGACGATCATGCATGCCGTGTAGCACTGGTAGTTATATATATTTACGACCTTCTGTCTCGTGTAAGTTCAATCTTTCTGACACAGCTGATCTTGCATGCCGTGATATCAAACTGCCCAGCATCTTGTCTGTCGGTCTCCCTCTGTCTCTTCCTCCCTCCAACTTTTCTACCCTCACAATATATTTAAGTTTTCTCCTTCTCATGACATTACTATAGAATGAAGATAAAAAGAATGGGAAACTGCTGAGGGTAACATAACTCCCTTGTAAAACCATACACAACCAGCATGCGTCATTGTGGAGGACACGGGTGAGAACCATTGTCTTGATTTTTTTCTCCGGGAGACGCCGATGTGCTGGGTAATGAAGAGGGGGACAGACTGGCTGGCTCTGCACAACTTGCTGAAATACTGATACATGATAAGGCAGACGTGGTTAGTGCCTTGTAAGAGAGCGTGTACAGTTCGGAGCAGCAGTGTGATCACCACAGTCTGGTGAGATTGATGCAGAGGAGAGTGACGAGAGGTTCTGGCAGATTATCGAGGCTCAGAGGAAAGGCAAGTCGGACGTTTAATCAGAATGTTACTAGCATCATGAGTATCGGAACTCTGCACTGGCTGCTGAAGATAAGGACAGAGCACTTATGGAAATGCCCCGAGTGCTGCGGTGTCGGTTCTTGAATCAACTCAACCCAACTCCTCATACAACTAGCAAATGGTGGGGTTGCCTCCCCCCTTTTCCCTCAAAACCCCCCCCCCCTCCCCCCCCCCCTTTTGCAGTGAAGTTATGTCGAACCTTCGGAGATGTAGTTTTATAGAAGAATAACCATACACATATAAAAAGTCTGAAAGAAAAGAAATGTTATACAACTAACTAGTAATCCTCATCAGATAAAGAAGAGTAAACTCTGTCTTTAATGACGTCGTGCGAGAAAGCTGAATTCGTTATGAAAACTGGTAAATGGTAAGATGCCAAAAGTAACCGTAACAGATAAAACTGGATGCCACTCACAAATAACAATAAACATGAAAAAAATAAAAAATGTCACCAACTTTGAATATCTAGGCTCTATAATAAGTAACAATGGAGACTATTTGGCAGAAATCAAAAGGATAAAAAGAATAAACAACATTAAAAGTCTATGGTTTCCAGCAAGGAAATCCAAATTAAAATTTTCCCTGTAGCAACATACGGATGTGAGTCGTGGACTATCTCCCAGCCCTTAAGAAAGCAAACAGGGGTTTTTGAGCTGAAATGGTAAAGAAATATTCTTAGAGTACCATGGACGAAGAAAAGAAGAAATACTGACATTTCAAGATATCTGAACATCTAGAAAGACTGGCTAATAAACCGCAGCCTGTCTGGAAAGCTGCAATATTTTGGTCATATCAAGCGCCATAGCAGACTGAAAAAAAAATAATAGCAGAAGGCATGGAACCAGGAAGGAGGGGCAGGGGCCGACCGACACGAAGAGGAGCACAGGATATAAGTGACTCCTTGAATATCAAAGTACAGATGGGAGAGCTGGCGAGAGACCGAGTTTCTTTCAGGCAGACCGTGATGGGAGCGACGTTCTGCAAAAGACCTGCTACATGATGATGATGATTATGGTGAGATGCCTAAGAACAGTTATCAGTCTAACCATCCAAGACAAAGTAAGAAATGATGCTATGAGACTGTAGGAACAACACAATGCACAAAATTAATTAAGGAACTGAAGATCAAATGGTTAAGTAATCTGTGACTGTAGTTTCTAACGATCCTAACAGATCTGACATATGAAAAGATCTGATAAGAAAGCAAGCTGTCATCATAGGAGTGATAGAGTGACGACATTAAAGACATAAAATAACAATAGTGATTACTAACCATCAGGCAATGCACAGCGAACTGTTCTTCTGCCAAATTCTTAACGGTAAAAGTGGAAACTCATGATGTTGATGGTGATTGGTAAGTTGTAGGAGAAAAGATGCGAAGGGAAAACAGGAGAAAAGTTCCTGGATAGTTTGGCAGTTTGGCATAGTAGACCATCCCTATTTTATATGACTGACAAAACCCGAAACAAAAAGCTATGCACATACGTGATTACTAACGACACACGGTACAGACTATTTATTATTAATTGAAGAGCCTTCAGTAAGTTACTATTACTTGTACGACTGTCCCCATTAGGCAGTATGTCTTTCTACAATCCTCACTTCATAGGGATGTGGTGAAGACGTGAATCCGAAAACATAATCTGTATACTTCGGGGGGACCTTGGCCTGTGGCAGAAACTGAAACCGCTGGCACATGTTTGAAAGGAACAAAAACAGTTCCATTTGAGCCAGCGCCTCACCGAGGCAAGCACGACGTCCAATGCCAAAAGGGATGAGCTCTTCTCGATCTTTCACTTTACCGTTGGCGTCCAGGAACCGCTCAGGTCTGAACGTCAAGACATCCTCACCCCAGATGGTTTTGTCCAGTAAAACTGAGTCCAGATTAGGAACAATGAATGTTCCCTTGGGAATGGTGTAGCCTCTAAGTGTCACCTCCTCTGAACAAGTGTGCATCAGTGAAAGTGGGACAATACTGGCCAGTCGCGAGGTTTCCATAATGGCGGCATTTAGGTAAGGCAATACAGGTCTGTCTTGTATGTTGGGTTGACGGTTCAAACCTATTTGTTCCTTGATCTCTTGGTAAATTTTCTCTTGTACATCTGGAAAATTCAACATGTAGAGAACAAACCAACAGATGGTTGTACTCATGGTCTCGGTTCCGGCTCCAAATAGATCATTGATAGATTTTATCAAATTGGCGTCGTCCAAGTATGTCGACACGCCAGCGTTCACTTTTTTGTTTCTCTCAACCAGATACGCTTCTATATAATTATCAACATTGTCAGAATCAATATCATCCCTTCTTTTGGAGTTTATAAATTTGGTAAGCAAATTGATGATCGAGTTAGTACTGCGAATAACTGCTTTGGCTTTAAATAGGTCCCCGGGTAGGTACATTAGCCAGGGGATAAAGTTGAGTACACCCACGTTTTGTTGGTACAACACGATGTCATTCAGATGGTCCATTAAACTGACAAATGCTTTATCGTCATGCTCGAACCTACGACCAAGAATTATGGCACAGATGATGTTAGATACGCTTACATTTGTTATTGTTCGAATGTTGGTAGGCTTTCCTTTTCTCTGCGCCAGGCATTTCAGGTAGGCGTCCACCTCTTCCTGGATCTTCTCTGCCAGAAAGTTCTTACCCATTCCAAACTTTCTCAGAATAGATATTGCGACTGTTCGCTGCTCCTTCCAAAGAGCGCCAGATGAAAATCCAATTCCTTTGCCAGCAAAACCGCTTCTCTAGGAAAGAAACAAATAAAACAATTACCGTATAGTGTTACCATATCCTTCTTTCCAATCGACACGTAACATGTGGGAGCGTTTTTTTTTTCTTCGTTTTTTATTTATTTTTATTATTATTTTTGACCCCATTCCTATAGATGACATGATGTTTTATCTTTGTATATTTCAAATCATCATCAGGTGCCTTGCTGACTGGAGTGTGCGATCATGCCTGTTCACAATCTGCGATCTCCTGCAGCATGTATCAGTTCGTGTGCTGACACACCTCCATGCCATGGAACATGACTGTCAAGAGTCTTTTCTCGTTGTCTTTCTCTATCACTCTTTCCACAGATCTTTCCAGTGGTCACAGCACATTCTATTTTCCCTCTTTTCATACCATGGCCAAAAAATGATGACTGTCTCCTTCTGATGTATGTGATAAGTTGTCTTCGGGCTCTCGCCTCTTTCAAAACCTCTTGGTTGCTCTTTCTGGCTGTCCAAGGTATTCTAAGCATTCTTCTGTAAAACCACATCTCTGAGGCCTCAAGAAATTGTTTCTCCAGCCTACCAATTGTCAGCATTCACAGCCATATGTTATGTTTGTTTGTTTGTTTTAGTATCCAAAAGCCATGAGTTGTTAACTCTTAGGCTCGGTATTATGGACATCGCAACCTTTCGGCCTTGATTCCATTGTAAATACCGTAAATCTGGGAGAAATGTGGCTTTTCTGCCTACCCCCGGGAGTGAACCCGGACCACCCGGTCTCCGCGCAATCCGGTTTAGCCAACTACGCTAGAGAGCCGGGCCACAGCCATATGTTAAAACTGGATGTATGTAGCAAGCAAGAATTCTTATACTAACTCTCAATGACAAAGATATATTGCACAAGATGTTCTTCATTTTATAAAATGCAGTTTTGCCTG